GATTTAAAGGGCCCTTTAAATCGCTGGCCTGGGGAAGCTGGGCCGATACGCCAGACCGAACCAGCTTACTTTCACCTCTGCCTTTAAGGGAATAATATACACTAGCTTATCATGATAAATGACATTTCCCAGACACTTTAACTTAAACACGCTGGATTAAATGAAACAATAAAACAAGTTTATTAACTACAAAGAGATAGATTTTAAGTGAGTGCAATGAAGCATAAAAGTCAGAAACAATTACAAGAAAATAGAGATAAAATGCTTATTAGTGTCTAACTTAAACTATATTAGATTCAAGCGAAGTCTCACCGCATGCTTCCAGCAGGATTACTGACCACACTTTTCAGGTCAGGACCCACCCCAGAGTTCAACGGTTATTTCCTTTTTCTTCTTAGGTGTAGAGAATGTGATGGGAATGGAGGGTGTGTGTGCCTGGAGGTGTTTTCCCCTCCTTTTTATTGTTTCAGTCCCCCTCCTGAAAAACATTTCCAGCTGAGAACCAGGAGGCAAAGAGTCTATGTGGAAGGATATTCCCTGCTGTTTTTTCCCCACCTGTTTGAACTCCCCCGCCCTTCCTGTTTGCTGACTCTGTTTACTGCTTAAATGCAAATTAAGGCAAAGCACATATTCCTTTGTTTAGGACAGACCTGTTTGCAGACTTCTGTTTGGGCAGGGCTATGGGGTTTGGAATATGTGTTAATAACATCATACAGGGAAATCTTTTAACTTCACATTACAATGTTGCCACACATTTTATCAGGATGATACTGACCAGCAAATTATGAGTTTTCAAATAATATCTTACAAGACATGCCCTGTACAAAGATTATTACATTAGTGTGCAGGGTGTGAATACAGGAGTGTATTCTAGCACAGTGGGTCAACCAGGTCCTTGATCAGTAACTATGTTGCTTTCTAAACTATCATCAAGATGATTGGCTGACTCTGATCCCTCACACTGAGTTTGCTTACAACAATGTTACAAACTTCCCCACCAAACAGACTCCTTTCTTTGCTAACTAACACACTCATCTAGAGCATGGTTCTCAAACTTATTTGATCATGCCCCCCTTCTTTGTGACTATTTTATTTTACGCCCCACCCCGCCACACAAGTACATATACTGATTAAAAAAAATCAACATGCAGCTCTCACTAAATATTAAAAACAGCAAGGCATCGATTCAAACAGAGCCAACAATCAATTGGAATAAGAGCAAAAGCAAAACTGCGATTGTGGTAGATGCTTACAATTAAATGTGCACACTGCGTTGTAACAAACCGGTTAATGTACAGATGGCAACAACTTTGTATAATGCTATGCAAGCTTCACAGAAATCCATCAAAATGCACAGCACCATCTAGAGTCAAATGCACAGCACCATCTGAGGACCGGATATGTCTGGAGAAATCAGCTTTGCTAGTTATTCATTGCTGTGGGTAAAATATGCACAGTATGTTTCCTCCCCCTAAAACTTCTCATGCCCCTCCCCCAAGTTGGAGAACCTCTGATCTAGAGATCCCCTCCAAATTGTCAAGGTTTGCTGTTATCGAACTAATGGCCCACATCCAGAAGTGTATCAAGAATTCCAGAGGCAGTTAAAAGTTGCAAGGGCAACTTTCAAACAATATGCCAACCGGTCCTCCCAGCTAACACCTGGGTTTGGGGTGGGGATAAGGTATGGTTGTCCGCCTCTCTGCGAATCTGGGACATAAATACTTGGGGCCTTTCCAGATCACAAAATAGATTAAGCCTGTTACAGTCAAGTTACAGCTACCAGATTCCCTCAAGATTTACCCTTTCATCTCTATCTTCTAAAACTATTAGTTAAGAATCCCTTCCAACTCTGTACTACTTCCCCTCCTTCACCCATTAGGGGTCATGAAGAAAATGCAGTTTGGCAACTCCTAGACTTTCGTGGGATCTGAGGAAAACTACAATATCCAATTGAATGGAATGGGTATGGCCCAGACTAACATTCAAGGAAATCTACAGAACACATCCATGCCCCGGATCTCCTGTGCACCTTTCATCACACTTACCCTGAGAAACCAGGCCCGAGGCCCCTAGACAGCACCCAGGGAGTTATGTTCAAAAATCAGGGCCTGCAGCAGAGTTAAACTCCAGACACCCTCATCAGTACAACTGGCCTGCAGCAGACTGCCTGATTGGCCAAACTATCTCATTGCTCTTAAGCCAGCAGCAGCAACTTGCTGGCTGCTTAATGCTCGTACCCACCATCGTGAATGCTCCTGTCTCACCTTGTTCCTGCTGCTCCTTTCTTGCATCCTGCTTTGCCACTGTCCTGCTGCCCCTGCCTTAAGCCCCGCCCCACCCTTTGCCTGTTACCTGCTTACTGCAGTTCCTGACTTCTGGCTTGATTTGTGGCTCTGGTTTCTCACTGCAGCTTGACCCTTGGCTCTGGTATCCAGTTCCTGCCCTCTGGTTTGACCCTTGGCTCCATCTTCCAACTACTGATTCCCACTCTGACACTAGTCCTTGGTTCCTGATGCCTGCTCTGACCATTAGGTTCTGACAACTAAGCTAGATCTACTTTGTTCCAGTTGCCGGACAATATCTTGCACATTGCTTCTGAAAAAAGCAACATAGAGTCCTGTGGCACCTTTAAGACTAACAGATGTATTGGAACATAAGCTTTCGTGGGTGAATGCCCACTTCGTCGGATGCATACCTTGACTCAGAATCTCCCTTGGGCTGAGCCATTTTATAATTTCTATTGCTGTTTTTTAGGCAATTCCTTATATTATTTATTTATCACCCAGACCATGCATGCTTAGTTCCTATGGCATCTCAAACCTTTAGGAACAGAGAAATTGCTATACTGGATCAGAACAAGTGATTTATCTAGTTCAGAATCCTGTCTATTCAAGAAATTTTGCAAAAGACAATTATGGAATAACTTTCCTACAGAGAAAGTTTCTTCCTAACTTCATAAATTAGAAGTTGTTTATACTATGAAGCAGGAAGGTTTATATCTCTTCCAAAACTCTTGGCTACCTTGTTTTTAATCCTTACTATTATAACTCTAGATATTGTTATCCATCAAATGGCAAATCATTTTTTGAATCTTGCTACGCTCTTGGCCACAATGCCTTTTAGCAATGTGTTTGTATATTTTTTTCCTTTTATCAATTTTTAAATTTGTCATATTTTTGAACATCCCATTGTTTTTGTATTAAGAAAAATATTCTTGAATAAAGAATAAATAAACTTCCTAATCTACCACTGGAGAAGATTGTAAAAAAAAGTTAGTCTTGACTAACCTAAATAATTTTGTGTCATCTGCAAATGTTGCCATCTTACTGCTCAACCTCTTTTCCAGATCACTAGTAAATGTATTAAACACTAGTCTAACATGGAACCTTTTGGCACTGTTAATCTTTTGCTAGGAGGAAAATTGACTTTAACTAGACAAGCAACAAGAAAAAAGACTAGCAGTTTGAGGGTGTAGAATGTTCTTTTGGGCACTCCCAGCTGCAGACATTGTCTGGCATGAACTTTGTGAAGTGTGTGCTCTCAGTTGAGAACCTGAGCAAGAGTACTGTAGGTAAAGCAAATTGCTCCTAGTCCTACAACCTGAAGAAAATAACAAACCAGAGTGTCTCATCGTCACTGACACTATTTCAGGCAGGTCAGCAGTTTAGCAGCTGTGTGATATCAGAGACATGACCTTTGTGTTACAATGACGGAGGGTGGGTACTTGATTGTGGCTGTGACAGATGTCTCTGGATTCACTATTTCACACTAACATTTGTCTGGCAATAGAGACGGGGCCACTAAAGCGAGGCAGCACCAGATCTCTCTCTGACAACTGTATACACTGTTGCCAGTGCTTGTGATGTTCCATTTCATAGAGTTCAAAGCCAGAATGGACCATCAAATCTAGTCTGATCACTTACATACCACAGGCCACTATTTTTCACTTAGCTAACCCTATTTTAAGCCCAAAGTTTTAAGTTAGATCAAAGCATTTTGGTCTTCAGGAGACTAAACTGAGTGTCATAGGGAGAAAACGAGAGATCAACATGCCAACAACGCCCCAGACCCCTGCAATAGCTGGAAATTGTTTAGGTGAGATATGCCCAGATGATCCCAGCAGATGAACCACACCCCATGCTGCAGGGGAAATGAAAACCCAGAAGGTTCCTGCCAGTCTGACTTGGGAGAAAATTCCCTCTCAATCCTACATCTGGTGATCTCTATAATCCTGAGCATGGGAGCAACACACATCAAAAGAGGATCCTCTGTACCACTTCAAAGCCCCAGTCCACCCGGTCCAGCGTCCTGTCTCTAGCTGCGGCCAATCTTTAGATCAAGGCAACCTCCCTACCCCTGAAAAATACAACTGGCCAATTGTGCATCGGGGGCAAAAATCCTTCCTGACCCCTGCAGGTGGCCAGCTAAAGCCCTAAATCATGAGATTTGATTATGTCATTATCTTTAATAATAGAATAATAGAAATATGGGGCTGGAAGGAATCCCAAGAGCTCATCAAGTCCAGCCCCCTGTGCTGTGGCAGGACCAAGTAAACCTAGACCATCCCTGACAGGTATTGGCCCAACCTGTTCTTAAAAACATACAACGGGGATTGGCAACCTTTGGCACGCAACCCGTCAGGGAAAGCCGCTGGTGGGCTGGGCCGGTTTGTTTACCAGCAGTGTCCGCAGATTCGGCCGATGGCAGCTCCCACTGGCCATGGTTCGCCGTCCCAGGCCAATGGGGGCTGCGGGAAGGGTGGCCAGCACATTCCTTGGGCCACGCTGCTTCCCGCAGCCCCCATTGGCCTGAGATGGCGAACTGTGGCCAGTGGGAGCTGTGATCAGCCGAACCTGCGGATGCTGCAGGTAAACAAAACAGACCGCCCTGCTAGCGGCTTTCCCTGGCGGGCTGCATGCCAAAGGTTGCCGATCCCTGAGCTACAATGATGCAGCTTCCACAGCCTCCCTTGGATGCCTATTCCAGAATTTAACTACTCTTATACAGTAAAAGCGTTGTTATCTGGCATGTTGGGGAAATGGGGGGTGCCAGTAAGTTAAAAATTCTGGTTTACTAAGAGGAAGGGAGTTTGGGTGTGGGAGGGATCTTAGGGCTGGGGCATGGGAGAGGGTGCAGGGCGCGGGCTTTGGGAGGTAGCTTGGCTGCAGGAAGGGGCTTAGGGCAGGAGTGCGGCAGGGATTTTGGGGTGCCAGATCCGGGCAGCCCTCACCTTGGTCGGCTTCCCACAAGCGGTGACATGTCCAGAGAGGCATGGCCAGGTGGCTCTACGTGCTGCTTCCGCCCAAAGGCGCAGGCCCACAGCTCCCCTTGGCCGCGGTCCCTGGCCAATGGGAGCTGCAGAGCCAGCACTCGGGACAAGGCGGGGGCAGCTCATGGAGCCCCCATGCCCATTCCTCCGGTTTGTAGAGCTTTCTGGTTTGTAAAGTGCCAGAGAACATAGCTTTTCCTGTAGTTACAATGTCTTTCCTAATAGCCAACCTAAACCTCCCTTGCTGCAGCTTAAGTTCATTACTGCTTGTCCGCCATTCAGCAGACACGGAGAACAACTGAACACTGTCTTCTTTATACAGCCCTTAACATATTTGAAAACTATTATCAGGTCCCCACTCAGTCTTCTTCTCAAGACTAAACATGCACAGGCATTTTAACCTTTCCTCATAGGCCCACATTTCTAAATCTTTTATTGTTTTTGTTGCACTTCTCTGGACTCTCTCCAATTTGTCCGCTTCTTTCCTTAAAGTGTGGCACACAGAACTGGACACAATACCCCAGCTGAGGTCAAATAGAGCAGGACAATTACCTCTCATGTCTTATATACAACACTTTTGTTCATACACCTGTAAGAACCTGGGGACAAGAACTTAGAGCAGGGGGATTCTAGGCCACCAATGCTTCTATAGCACCATCACATCCACCATAGTGGATACCCAGGTTTCCACTAGAGGAACCTGTGAAGCTAGACACTGTAGGAAGTACCACCCAACAGGACCTGAGTGGCAACCCCAGAGCCCACTGACTGACTGGCTCATGCTGGTATATTTCTCCTGGGGGAGTTTTGCGCCACTGCGCAATGCAGAATTTTGCAGAAATTAATGTTGTGCATGCAGAATTTCCTTTCCTCTCCAGAAATGGGCTGCTAGCCGCCACTAAGGGCCTGTGGACTTGGCAGGGCCCACCTTTCACACAGAAGACACTTCTGTGGGGAGGGACAGGGAGCTAGAGAGTTCCTGGCAGCTGCAGTTCCCAGCATGCCCTGAGGGAAGGAGACGGTGGCATGCAGAAAACTCTGTGCAAGCCTAGGACCAAGCATCATGCTGTATCTCCCTCTGGATCCTTGGGCTCGGGGGGAGTGGGCTCTTGGGGGGACGGGATGTGGGCTGGGGGGGCCCTGCGGTTGGACTCTGGAGAGGAGGGGGTTCAGATGTATTGGCTGGGGCGGAGGCCCGCAGGTGGGCTCTGTGGGCGGGGAGGGGTTGTGCATGTCTTGCCCCCGGCTGGGCTCTGGGGGAGGGGAAGGCAGCAGAGAAATAGGAACTGGGTTATCAAAGGAGTTTCTTTAACTCTCTACTCCTGGGGGAATTTGTGTGTGTGTCTGTATTGCTTCTGACCCGGATTCGTCCCTGTCTCTGTCACTTGCCTGCTGTCTGTCGCCTGGTGCCAGCCTGACCCTGACTTTCTCCTATCCTGACTCAGCTCCCAGACCTGGGGGCAGGTGGCTCCTCCTCCTCACCATTGTGGTCTGTTCCTCAGCCATTGTGGTCTACTACTCTTGCCAGTACATGATACTGGTTCCTGACTGAGAAGGACAGGGGTCCTGAGAGGGGTGTGGAGCATTGTCTACTGTCCCAGGTGGCCAGCCAGTCTCCTTCTTCTAGAACAGCTGGTTCACCTTCCTCCTCTGGTACCACTGTAGTCGTGTAGTCAGCTAGCATCCTCCGTCCAAGGTGTTTCCACGTGCATACTGTCGATTAAGTCCTTATCCTCCTGCTGCTCTGTTACCAGCTTCCTGAGGGACTCCACCAACAGACACCTCTCACGGAAGATGGTTCCCCCTGCCTGATTTTCACTGACAGGGACATGAAGGGCACATTACCAGCAAGTCAAGACCAGGGTGGAAGTCTCTAGGGTCAGGATGCCTGTCTGACAGGAGGCCCCACAGGTATAGTTAGCAGTGATGTTGGCATGTCATTTCCCTCCCATTGTCAGGTCTTCCTTGTAGGGTACCTGCAAATTAAGGAAATTCAAAATCCTATGTCTCTGCCTTCCTCCACTGGCGAACTCCATTGGCTAGCTCCCTAAGGCAGAGGACCCCAAACTTTGGGGTGCACCCCCCTAGAGGGACAAGGAGGACTGTTCGGGAGGGGGCATGGAGGGAGCATCACACAGCTCCACTCCTGGACCTGGCTGCCGGCCCTAGGGCTCTGCTCCCGGCCCTGCGGCTGCCGGCCCCGCGCCCAGGGCTCTGCTCTCAGCCCTGGCTGCCAGCCCCATGCTCCGCTCTCGGCCTTGCACCTGGGGCCCCACCTCTGGGCCTTGGCCGGGGCTCTGCTCCTGGCCCTGCCCCCTGCTGTCGCCCCAGTCTTGGCCCCCTTACCCCTGTCCATGTCCCTCTCCCTCGCCTCCCAGTGCCGTGACCCCACTCCTGGCCCCAGCTTGGGGGAAGGGTGCGGACAGAGATAAACAGGGGCATGACCCTGAAAACTTTGGGGACCACTGCCCTAAGGCCTGATCTATACTTAAAAATTATATCGAACTGGCTACATTGATTGCTCAGGGCTGTCAAAAATTTCATGTCCTGATCACTGTAGTTAGGTCACCCTAATCCCTGGTGTAGATGCAGCCCAGTTGACAGAATTCTTCCGTGGACCTAGGTACCACCTCTTGGAAAGATGGATTAACTGCATGGACAGAAAAATCCCTTCTGTTGATACAGTAAATCCCACCCCTCGAGAGGCAGTAGCTATGTCATTGGAAGAATTCTTCCATTGACTTAGCAATGTCTACAGTGGGGCTTAGGTTGATTTAACCACATCTCTCAGGGTTGTGAATTTTTTATCCCCATGAGTGACACAGCTATGTCATCCTCAGTTTTAGGTGTAGACTAGGGCTGAGTCTTTCAGCTGCTTTCATCTTACCAGCAACTGGGCATCTGCATGCTTTTTAAAGTCTGGGCCCCACACATAGTTGGAATGGATGACTCAAACTCTCTCACTCAGTCTCCTCTAATCTCTGGCCTATTAAAACAAAAACTCTACAGCTCACATTTCAGAGTTCCCTGCTAGAGCCCTTCAAAGAGTCCTTCTAACTCACCTAACTGCAGGACAATCAGCTATCAAACCTAAACTTCAAAACACAACACACACAGCAACCAAACGTGTTCCACCAGAGCTGCAAGTATTATGAGCATGTAGAGGGCAATGCATGTAATCCTATTCTTCCCATAGAATCATAGAAGATTAGGGTTGGAAGAGACCTCAGGAGGTCATCTAGTCCAACTAAATCATCCCAGCCAGGGCTTTGTCAAGCCGGGCCTTAAGAACTTTGAAGGATAGAGATTCCACCACTTCCCTAGGTAACCCATTTCAGTGCTTCACCACCCTCCTAATGAAAAAGTTTTTCCTAATATCTAACCTAGACCTTCCCCACTGCAACTTGAGACCATTGCTCCTTGTTCTGTCATCTGCCACCACTGAAAACAGCCGAGCTCCATTCTCTTTGGAACCCTCCTTCAGGTAGTTGAAGGCTATCAAATCCCCCCTCAATTCTTCTCTTCTGCCAACTAAATAAGCCCAGTTCCCTCAGCCTCTCCTCGTAAGTCATGTGCCCCAGCCCCCTAATCATTTTTGTTGCCCTCCACTGGACTCTCTCCAATTTGTCCACATCCTTTCTGTAGTGGGGCCCCAAAACTGGATGCAATACTCCAGATGTGGCTTCACCAGTACTAAATAGACGGGAATAATCACTTCTCTTGATCTGCTGGCAATGCTCCTACTAATGCAGCCCAATATGCCGTTTGCTGTTAGCCTTCTTGGCAACAAGGGCACACTGTGCCCATGAAAGAAGGGGAAGAACAGGGGGACTCAGATGCTTAAACAAGAATGAATTAACTTGACCATCTAGTTGAAGCCCCTGCACACCATTATATCTTATTCTGCCTTTTATTACAAGTCTTACACTATTTAGGGTATGCCTGCACTGGAGCTGGAAGGTGTAATTTCCAGTTTAAGTAAACATACCTGTGCTAGCCCTTATTAAGCTAGTGCACTAAAAACAGAAGTGTAGCTGTGAGTCGCTAGCCACTCCAAGTACTCAGGCAGCACTGCTAAGGCTACACTTCTGTTTAGCATATTAGCTCAATTATAGCTACTGCCAGTACATCTATCGAAGCTGCAAATTGCACCTTTCAGTTCCAGTGTAGACATACCTCGAAGCTGTTGACCTTGGCTAGGCTACAGGGTTATGTTGGCATGGTTAAGGTAGTCCAAGTTACAAAGTGGAAGGTCTTGGAGTCCTGTGATTACACGTGCATGTCATGTTTTTAAAAAACTCTCTACCTCTTAGCGTTGCACAGAAACGCTTGAAAATGTGAACGCTACAGAGGATCGAAAACGTGGGCAGAGGCAGTGCTACCCCATTGGGACCCATAAACATTAATATTTGGGGGGACTCCACACACATAATAAAAAGCAAAATAGGGGTAGGGTAACCAGACAGCAAGTGTGAAAAATCGGGACGGGAGTGGGGGGGGGTAATAGGATCCTACATAAGAAAAAGACCCCAAAATCGGGACCTCTGGTCACCCTCAGTAGGGGCCCCTTGAGCTGCTCGGGGCTCTAAGCAAAGTCACTGCGGCGGCTCCGCCCCGCATCACACCCACCTCTCCTTCCTCCCGTACCCGGTTCGCAGTCACCGCCCCCCAGACAAGCTCGGGACAGAGCCACGACGCCGGAACTGGCGCATCGCATCGCCCACCCCACGCCTTCAAGCAGCCAATCAGCGCCCTTCGCCAGTTCGCTGCGTCACATTCCTGCGGCCGTCCCCTCCCCCCCGGGCACGTGTGCTCTGTTGTGCCTGTCACAGCCACCCCGGCAGTACCTGTCCCGCCGCGGCTCTTCCTGGGCCTGGCTCGCGCCGCGGGGACTGGGCTGCCCTCCGCCGCGCACGACCCTCGCCCCAGCATGTCCGGCTGCCCTGCCGCCGCCGCGCTCGCCGCCTGCCGCCAGGCCTGGGAGCAGGTGTTGGCCAAGGCCAAGCGGGCCGTGGTGTTCGTGGACGCGGCGTGCGCGGAGAGCCTGCACTGGGCGGGCGGCGGCGCGGGCAGGCTGCTGGAGGCCGGCGCCCTCAACGTCAAGGAGTTCTCCAGCTTCGAGGCGGGCGCGGCGGAGCAGCCCAAGGCGGTGTTCGTGGTGAGCAGCCTGCTGAAGGGCCGGGCGGTGGACATCATTCGCGACATCGTCAGCCTCAGCCGCTTCCAGTACTGCGTGGTGTTCACCGCCGTTAGCCACGCCGTGCACCTGCTGGCCCACGGGGCGCCCGGCGGCGCCGAGCCGGAGGGGGGCAGCCAGGCGGTCTTCGAGCAGTTCGAGGAGAAACTCTGCCAGTGGATGGGCAACATGAACTACACCGCCGAGGTGCAGCATGCCCCCCTGCTACTGGCGCCCATCTCGCCTCATCTCTTCGTGACCCCGGCCTTTGCCTCGCTCTTTCCCATGACGCCCCAGGACCTGGCTCGCATCAACTCCTCCAGGCCTGAGAAGAAAAAGTTTGGCAGCTTGAACGACCTGGACTTCTCCTCTCTGCCTCCTGAGCTGCAGCTTCAGATCAGAACCCTGGTGTCTGGCTTGAACTCCTTGTTTGAGTGTTTAAATGTGAGAGAGGAGTGCTTTGCAATTGGGACTCTGAGCAAGATTATCGCAGGGGATTTAGCGAACTACTCACAGGCCAAAAACAGGAGGAAGACAGCACAAAACCGAGCCTCTGTCATCTTCATAGACAGGACACTGGATCTGACAGGTAAGAAGCTTAATATCAATATCACAATTGTGAGCCACGCTTCATTTACGTTATTATGGTGATCACTGGATTTCGAAGTGCCTGTGCAGATAGGTGCTCATATACAAATGTGGCTTTAGTGGCCCATTGAGAGTGGTGAAAATAGGAGATGTGGGTTGGTGTTTAAAGCACGAGACTGAGTCATAAGTTCTAGGTTCTGCCACTGACCCTGTGACCCAGAGAGAGTCTATGTAGTCTTTGTGCCTCAGGTTCCCAATCCTGGGAGAGGGGTGGGGAAGGGAGAGGGAAATTTGCTGTGAAATTTATTTCATCATGGTTTGTAAAGTACTTTGAAATCTTTGGATTTAAAATGCCACATAAGGGCAAACAGTTTTTTTTATAATGAGAGCTGAAACCTGAGTTGTATTTTATTTAACTTTTAGTTTTCAGGTTTTATATGTCAGTTGTCCTGATAGAAGCTATTTTAGCAAATACAATAGCAAAACTAAACACAACTCTCAGCTTGGGGAGAAGATGAAATAATGAACCATATATGCTGTATGTTAGGCACGTCACTTAATGCACTCCTGGAGGGTGCTTAAATATTACAGTGATAAGGGTAGTATAAGAACCTGTATGGGAAAGAACAGAACAAGAATAAAATGCTCAGGGCTTGAAAAATTTATAAGACATTTCCAAGCTAGATGTTGGGGAAAAAATGATATTGATAGGCAGAAATGAAAGACGTGAGTAGGGGAGTCACCAGCAAGCTCCAGGGACAATGACGTGTGAGAAGGCTAAACTTCTATCCTTTTGTATCAGGATCTGGCAAGTTATGTGTCTGATAAGTTTGAATGCTTCCCACCAGTGATGGAAGGGAAAGAATGTTTCTCTTTTTCTCCCACACTCCATTTTATCTCATGGTTTTGGGATTGTTATGGAGAGGGACAGTGATACACTAGCCCTCACCCCTTGGGGGACGGAAAGGAAAACGAGGGTTGGGGGGAAGAAACCTAGGAAAAGAGTAGAACCCATTCACCTCACAGCAGCCTGGCTGCTGATGAGAATTTTCCTTCCCCATAAATAGCTTCAGTGGATCCCAGAACTTTCCCAAGAAGCTGCAGAGGATAAGCTGCCATATTGGATATGATCAACATTCAGAATCATATTTCTGACAGTAGCTGCCAGTACTAGAGGCTTTGGTGGAAGGTATATACAACCCACTCCCTTAATGGATATTTTTACGATAACATGTCTTTGAGGCAATGTTTCTTCGTATTTCCAGGCAGTTTGTGCTTGGCTTATGAGCTTAGGAGAACAAGTCCTTATTTGACTTCAGTGGGACTCATGTTCCTAAATCATTCAGGCACTTTTGAAAATCTGACCCTTATATCCTAAGTATCGTAACTATAAATGTTTAATTTTTTTAGTCCTGCTAAGATCTTTGGCTCAGTACAGTACCTTGTGATAGTGAGTTTCACAAGTTAATTTGATGGTATCTTTAAAAAGGATTTTCTTTTATATGTTTGACATTTGCCTATTAATTTAATTGTTTGTCCCCTTATTCTTGTATTCTGAAACATACATAGAAGCACATAATTTACCTTCTCTATGCCATTTATTATGTTGTAAACTTCTGAAGTCTACCCTTTTATTCATCGCTAAACTACATAACGCTGATCTTTCAAATCTCTCCATTTATGGAGCTCTTTCTATGCTATCAATAACTTTCATTAGTCTTCTCTATACATCTTATTTCGGTTATACCAAAACTTAATTCAGCATCCAAGGTGAGGATACACCATAGATGTAGATTATGATATAATATTTTCAGTACAATTCTCTATCCTTCTAAGTGTATCCTTGCTTGACTATGGTCAGTTTCACAGCTCTGTTCACAAGGTGCTGAACAGCAACTGTGAAACTGACCTGAGTGATATTAATGTCATGCTGATATTTGGGAAATCTGCTCACAGTTCACTGGTTCACATTGAGTAGGCCATATGCTTAACCATGTGCTAAACTTAATATTCTTTAATAAAAGTTTAGATTCTACAGATATCGATAGTTTAAGTCCCCTACTCCCTAGGGAAAAGTTTCCTACTTGCCATTGAATTTTTCAAGCGCTGATGGATAACTAAAAAGACAGCAGGTATCAGAATACTTCATCTATATTTTTACCATCTGAAAGAACTGCATGAGAGCACACTCAGAAAGAAAAAAGGAGCAATTGCTTATTACCACATTTTGAGACTGGCCAGGAAGAGAAAAGAACAAAGTTATGCAAGAGCAGCTCCACACACTCTAACCATGGTCCCCATTGCAACTCAGCAACATCTCACAATCAAAGGCAATAGACATATTAAACAATATTGGCATGGTACTTGATATGCATCTATTGGCAGGAGAAAATCAATTACCAATGCAAACAGCTGTGTGTGTGCCAGTTTAGCACCCTGCCTACCAAGCATCAAGGAGATTTGAGGCAAGGTACCAAGAGTTGTTTTGTCACCACCTTTTCAATAAGCGTTAGAAAAAAGAAAACAGAAAAAAAAGATTGATTGATTAGTATAGAGCTATAGTTGGCCATATTGTTGAAGTCAAGTGATTGCCAATGCTTTCTTAAGAGATAGAAGATTAGTGGCTTCTGTTTTAAAAAAAAAAAAAAACGTACAGTATGTGGCTGCTGCTCCAGAAACAATCTGTGTCAATGATGATTCTTCGCTGTTTTTCCACGAGCCAGGTACAGCGTAGGTCACAGTCAGAAGTTGTCGAACAAAGTTCTCCCACCACCTCCAGTACTTCAGGTAGCAACAGTGGCTGACACAAAAACAGAAGAACTGGCATTTGTCCCCTAAATATATTTCCCTATCTCCACAGAAGCAGACATCTCTGTCTCCATCTGAACAAAATGTATCTACAAAATAAGAATTCTCACAGTGACAAGAACTTAAGATCAGCCACTGAACACAAGCAGGTTGGATTAAACTATCCCAGCACCCAAAACAAATCTGATGATCAGATCTCAGAAATCTGTGCAAAGTTGGAGCCTTGAATCAAGTCATGACCTGTTGTAATTTTATTGACCACTGATCTTGCTTTAATCAAAATGAACCAAAGGCCATTCAAAGGAATTCTCTCAGATCAAATGCAATCTCTCTTGCATCTGATCTGAGAGAAGGACAGGACCACTGTTTTGGATCATTGGATGTTTTCTGTTGTGAGGTGTCTTAACTAGTCTTTGGGGACTAACTGATTAGCAGAGGATTGGTGCTGCATTAAGCCAGGTCTTCGTAACAAGCAAGGTCAGGTATCTTGCCCAAAGTGTCATCCAAAATCAGATTTACTCATAGTCAACTTTCAACAAGCTGAGGAAGATGGTATCACAGTTGTCTGAAGGATAGTTGCCCTACTAACTATGCTGAGGGGTATTGTGGAGGGTGAGAGGGGCATGGTGGTTGGAATCAAGAGGAGAGTCTCAAAGCCAAGTAACACACAGTGATGGCAGCCTAAAGTGGCTTTCAGAGTTCCTTTTCCTTCCACCCCTTCAAAACTCTTCCCCTTGTTAACTAGCAGTTAAGATAGGAAAAGCGTATGTATTAATATTTTTATGTGATTATGAATGATTTTTATTCCAAATTAGTTACTATTTAATGTTGAGTTTACATCCTGGTCTCATCTCTAATAAATTTGAGGCCTGCTCCTCACTTGTATGTTTGAATTGAGAACACACTGCTCATGCCTGAGGCTCGGTGTTTGTCACGGAGGTCACAGAAGTCATAGATTCCGTGACCTCCATGACTTCTGCAGCGGCCCGTGCAGTTGGCCTGGGAGCCACCTGCGTAGCTCAAGCAGCCACTGGGCCAGTTGCACCGGCTGCTGTTGGGGCAGTCTCAGGCCCCCCCGCCCTTCAGCAGCAGGAGTTTGGGTGTGCGGGGGCTGGGGTGTGGGGTGGTGCTTACCTGGGGGGCAGGCTCCCCGAAAGGGCAACAGAAACTCCCCTCCCTCAGCTCCTAGCTCCATGTGCTGCTTCCTCCTGGCATGCTCTGCCCCCACAGCTCCCATTGTCCGTGGTTCCCATCCAATGGGAGTTGCAGAACTGGGGCTTGGGATGGAGCCGAAGCAGCACGTGGAGCTAGGAGCTGGAGGTCACCACTTCCCAGGAGTCAGGTAGGGAACTCCTCCCCCCCCCCCCGAGTACCCGTGGTGCCCCCCCCAAGTACCTATGCTGCCCCCCTGGGCCTACCCCACCCCCCCTGAGTACCTGCAGCACCCCCAGGCCGCCCAGCACCTGTGGCGCCCCTGGGCCCCCCCTTCCGGAGCCACCCCTCCCCCAACTTTTAGTCAGGAGTATACAGGCAGTCCTCAGACTTACGACACAATTGGTTCCTGAAAATTTTGTCATAAGTTGAAACGTTGTAACTCAGAACTGCAATACAGTCCATTGCGGGACTGACCATCGTAAAGTCAAAACCAATGGTCGTAAGTTGAATCAGGGATCAATTCAGAAACATTGTAAGTGCCGTTTGTCTTAATTCAAATATCGTAAAGTCAAGGACTGCCTGTATAGTAAAAGTTATGGACAGGTCACAGGGTGTGAATTTTTGTTTACTGCCCGTGACCTGTCCATGACTTTTACTAAAAATACCAGTGACTAAAACTTAGCATTACTCATGCCTAATATACATGGATCTCCAAGAGAAAGGAGGTAGAACCCAAGAAGATAGGGTCTTGTTATAAGCAGAAAAGAAAGCTAATGTATAGTCTGACATGAGATTTCCACCATAATGATGCCACTTTTCTGCAAGGTAATTTTCCTCCATTTTTTCATGGCTTGCCCTATACTTGGAATGATTGCCGTCTTCCTTGTGCAACAAATCACCTCCCTTAAAACCTACGTTTTAAAACCAAACACATCTTTGTCCAGCAAAGCCTTTCCATGACAAACACAAATTATTGGGCTCAATGCAGTGGTGCCTGGGTGAAATTTAATGGCTTGTGACGTACAGTCGATCAGAATAGCTGATTTAATGATCCCTTCTGTCCTTAAAATCTATGATTACCTATGTAAGATGAACTGTGCATTGTGTTTCAAAATAATGTCCTTAACAGCTGTAGTCTCTCATATATAAAGAGCCAGCCACTTTCCTTATTTGTTTATGTGGCATTGTGAGCTAGCAGTGTAGATCAAATATATACAGTATGTTGGATGATGGGAAAGGTTTGAGCTGTTATTTAAGTTTGCTGCCAAGCATGGGAATTTTCAAATCTGTGCACTAAGCTAACTGGGTGCTGCTTTCTTTTAAGCATTAAAAGAACATTCAAATTATTCCATCATATTTTGCTGACCTCTCTGAAACTGCTATAGCACTTTGTAACTAACTGCAGCACCCCCATTGTCACCATAAAGCTCTAAATATAGCAGTTGATTAATTAATAAGTGCCAGATTCTTCACAAACTATATCTGAACACAGCCTATACCTTGTCAGACAGTACTGTGTTTGATCCTGTCTGAAATATTTTCAGCTGCTGTCAATCCCTACTACTAACTGTAATAATTTAACTGTGAAGTGGCTTCTCTTTGAATGGCAACTATCTGTCAGAATAAGGGGATGATTACAACATTGAGCTATAAATCATAGTTTGTATAAGATGTCCAAGGAGACAGGGTCCTTGCCCTTTCTATATGAAATCTTACATTTTCCCTCCAAATATGTACTAATATACAGATGGTACTAAATTGAGAGATGCTACGAACACCAGAAAGAACACAAATAATATAAAGGGAGCAAAAAAAAAAGGAATCTGGCCAGGGAATAATAAAATGAGATTAATTCTGGACAAATGCAAGCTAATATAACTGGTCAGAAATAACCCAAGAAAAGACATTCAGAGCCACATTATGCCAGAAAGACACAGGCCCACATTAGGAGGTATGCAAAGCCACACTCCTGGAGGAGGCATATGGCCTGTATAAGAGGAGAAGTTTTAGTTTACCACTGTTCATTTAGGTAAGAAAAGTGTGGTGCGTGTTTTGTTTTTTTTGTTTTTTGTTTTTGTTACTTAAATAGCCACTGGAAGCCTTCTTGTCCACTTTTCTCCTTAGATAAGGAATTAGATTCTTGTTTGAAAAAATCTCAAACATCTCTAAAATCATAAAAGTCCATTTAAATCATACTTTTTAAAATAAGTTCTTCAAAAAAGTATTGTTCTTTCTAATTTAACATTGGATACCCCCAGGCTCTTATAGCAAAGTAACATTAAAAATGTGTGTGTTATCTTTTAAAACAAGACTAACAATCTCCTCTCCCCAGTAATCTAATGGGGTTTTGTTCTTAATACCCTGTTTTTTCCCATGTTTGTATCACTCCTTATTTCCTTATCTTTTCCCAGGAGCAGTTGGTCATCATGGTGACAGCCTACCAGAGAAGATATTTTCTGTGCTTCCTCGACTTCCTGGCCACACAAACGATGTGATGGTTAATATGGTGGAACTCACTGCACTGCAGACTAAAGATGAAACTTGCAATATTATAGCACCTGGCTGCTTGGCACAACCAAAGTAAAACTGCTTTTTTTCTTTGCTTTTTAAATAACAGACTTTTTTGTGTGGTACAGGAGAAGAGAACAATAACCATATGTCCAGAAAAATGCAAGATTATAGTTTTAGTGCTATTGAAATAGATTCTAAAATAATAATCCATACATACACATGTACAGCGGAGGGTGAAATAAGCTCCTGATAGAGACAGAATTTCAGTTCTTCAGGTTTATTTTTTAAAACGAAAACAGTCCAAAATAAATCAGAACAGATAAGCCATGTCCTGCTATCTGGCCCTTCCTAAGGCATCTACCTCACAAGACTTCTGCTCCCACATAGTGAGTATCTCTAGCTAGGTGTTCCAGCTAGCTGGGGTGGAGAGCCTCCTTCCAGGTTCTGTCTCCTTCCTGCTCCTGTAGAGCTCTTCCTAACTGAGCTGCTTGCTGGTGTTCTACCTGAGAACCAGGTGACTTGCAGCCTATCACCATATCCCTGGCTTCAAACACCTCACTGAAAGAGGGAGCTAATTAGGATTTCCTACACTTCAGCCTATAACCTTTATTTTATAGGGGTCCTCGGTGCCCATTACCCTCTCCCCACTCCCACCCCGGACTAGCTAGGTGCTGCTGGGTCCAGCTTCTGAAGCAATGCACAGCTGTATGTTTCTTCAGTCTGTTCTTCAGGGGATACATTTGCTCAGCTAGTTGGACTTTACCTTTACTGCTCTGATGACTGGGTTAGCAAAAATAAACCATTTATTGGATCTTCAACCATTTTTGAAGGTGCTAATTGGTCTTTTGAGCTTTGCTTTAAGAATGTGGTCTCCTCAGACTCTAGGGGCTGGTCTACACTGGCACTTTACAGCGCTGCAACTTTCTTGCTCAGGGGTGTGAAAAAATACCCCCCCTGTGCTCAACAAGTTTCAGCGCTGTAAAGCGCCAGTGTAGGCAGTGCACCACTGCTCCCAGTGCTGGAAGCTACGCCCCTCGTGGAGGTGGGTTTTTAGAGCGCTGGGAGAGCTCTCTCCCAGTGCTTTGTCGCAACTACACAAGCCACGTTAAAGAGCTGCCACAGCAGTGCTTTAATGTTGCCAGTGTAGACAAGCCCTAGGAAACAGCTCCACTCTGCTGAGTTATGTTAAAGCAGATTCTAGGGTGGCTATTAGCACCTTTTACGCTGTTCTGTGGTTTACTGGAAGTGCTTGTGTTATTTGTACAGCCACGTTTATATCTCCACATCACTCACAACTGGAGAAGTACTACATGGCCTGAAAAAGTTCGCATCTCCAAATCAGAATGCTATTCTGGATCATTCAGGCCCAGTTTATTTAATCATTTCTAGAAACTATGAAATGTTTGAAAACAGTTTTCAATTACTGTTCGCATTTCCATTATGCTGAAAGTAGCAGAATCTGTGACATTATCAGAATGGAAGTCTAATTATTGTAAACTAGTTTCCATTCTTCTTCAACACAAGTCTGTTTTAATGGTCGCATTACAAATATTGAACAGTGTGAAATGCCTAAGTTCTTCTGCAATACTTAAATTGATTTATAATCCCTAAGAATGAGCTCCCATACTGATGCTGCTGTGAGTGATCTCTCGCTTCATCAAAATGGCTGTTGCCAATGGTAGCAAGCTCAAAAATGCTAGTTGTAATTAAAAATGTTAGCATACAGATATAAAGTACAGTTTATGCATGGCAACAAGTGATTCTCTGCTTGTAAATTTTCCAGTTACTGTACGGAGTGAAGGTAGCAGAACCTCTGTCAGGGAAAGGACTAGTAATTTAATGTGGCACAGCAGTGGACAGAGTGGCTCTTTACACAATGGCTTGGGAACGATTGTGCCAAATTCAGTGGCATTTCACAAATGCTGACTTCTATATTCAGAATATTTTCAAATACTTAAAAATGTTTTTTTCCCCCCCTGAGTTAATATTCAATATATTGTGGTGGGGGAGGAGGAGGAGAAATGTCGGCTCCATCCACACAGCTTGCTGTCTTTAACGTTTTAAAGGAATGTTTCTCCAACAGAAACATCTGGGCTCAGTTACAGGGTTAGCAAACAGAATTAATGAATAATTTATGGCTGGTGTGGTGAAATAAAGCAGGGTTCTTTTCTTAAACCTAAGGAAATAATGGGCTTCTTTAAAGATTTAAATGAAAATTTAAATGCCATATGCTGCTTAAGTTGTTATACTTTGAAGGTGATCTCTTGAAGAGGAAAAAAGTTCAAGAATTGTTTTTTTAGAATTTTCAATTTTAATAGTGTTAGTAGTACAAAAAAAAGTTGGAGGAACAAATGTTGCATTAATATAATTATGGACATGTTGCTGTTCCAGCATGAATGGCTGCTAATCAAGAAATATTTTGAAAAGAGCCCAAGACTCTTATGATTTAAAGAATGAAACAATTTATGGAATGAGAGCTAAAGACATCCATGTTGGATCAGTACTATGTGCTTCTCCATATTTTTTAAGTAGAAAAACCTTGCTCTTTCAAACAAAGAATGTATAATACGAGCAAAATAATGGTATGATGGAAACAGTTGTAGACACTTTTAAAAATGAAAGGCTGATATTGATGGCACCTTGGTCTTAGCATTTAGATGAGTTGTAGAATACTTTTGGAGTCAAGTTTGTATTCAAATAATTTCAGTTACTTTTCTCATTAAAGACAATGGCAGTTCTTTGGGGGATGCTTTATGTCCTCTTTGGGTGAATATCTGTGATTCTGTTGACTTGAACCATTTGTCCACTTGAGGGCAGAATTTGGTTATTTATCTCAATTAAAAAAAAAATGGCAGTCTGTTTGTGGCCCCCCCGTTACCGTAGTATCTGATCACCTCACAGTTTTACATTTATTTATTCTCACAACATCCTGAGCTGTATTATGAGCCACAGAGAGGCTCAGTGGTCACACAGAGTGTGTGGGAAAACAGGGACTTGCACCCAGGTCTCGCAAGTCCTAGGCTAATGTCCTAATCACTGGGCCATGATGAGTAAGAACAAAGTATACTGACTAACATGGTGCTGAAATGTGAGAAATTTAAATGGCACCTTTTATTATTAAACCATATCTTATATCATGTGTTTTCAGTATCAAATTAGACAAATTATAATCAGGTTGGTTATACATATATAAGTGACTTCCTGAATGCAGCTTGTTTTTCTTATCCCTCCAAAACACTTGGGAGCTTGTAAATATCTCCTATGTATACATTTTGGACCAGCTTTGTGATAAATACAACTCAGTAAAGGGCCAGACATTTATGCAGAAGATAAACAGTTTTTATAAAACATGAAATGGGCCATTAGCTACTTACTGTAAACGTTTTGTCCATGAAAATGCAAAAACATACTCTAATACATTTAACATTTGGACTGCTGTGCCTAAAGCAATTCAATAGGTAATAGTAGCTAAGGTGTCTAGACATTTTTGACAAAGCAATTAGAGTCATTAAATCATCTGGGTTTGCATTGGTAAAAATAACAAGCTGAAAATGTGGTGATCTTGTTCATTGGTGTGCGATTCAGTAAACCTTGAAGTGCAGACCAGATGTTTAAAATACGATACACTACAAAACTTTCTATTATTTTTCCCCCATATAAAACATTGGCAGTGGAAACTTAATCATCCATTGAGAAACTTTGGTAGATTTTTTTTTTTAGTCAGTGCCTCATACTCAAAGAATATGCTGAAGCTGAAAGCATGTTTCTTCCTCAGTCCTAAAAATAGTAATGCACCTGTTTAACTTTAGGCACATCTTATCGTTGGATGGTGTGTGGGTGTACACGTGCATGTTCATTTGGTCTTAAACAGTTAGCATTTTTGTTTGGATAGCTACGCTGATCTTACTGTAATTGTAAATCTTCACATTTCAGAAAATACTTGACTTGTTACAATTTAAACTAGGAAGAAAAAAAATCCTAAAAAAATCCATCTCTTCCATTATATTTACATTCTTGCAGATGATGTGGTAATAAGAGTCATGCAGCATACATATGGAACTCCTCATAACCTCAGAGGCAGTTTGAGTGCAGATCTGGGGCAGCATGTGGCTTCAAAATATCTTAGATGGCTTTTGGTCAGTATTGGTGCTGGTGGTTTTTAAGTGTCCTGTTAAAAGCTTTGAGCACACTAATGATGATAGTCCTTGTTAATAGGATACTGGTCTGGGCGAGAGGTGACCTGGGTACTAATTCCAGTTGTGTCATCAACTTATGTGTCCTTGGGCAAGTCACTTCATCTCTTTGTGCTTGTTTCCTGGGACAGGGACTGTCTATGTGATTGTCCAGTGCATAGCAAAAAGGGTCCCTGATCTCAACTGGGGTTTAATAAATAATAGTACTAAAGGACATAATTAACAGTAAGTTATTGAAACTCTCTTTGCCTATGTTTATTTTTTCATTTTCTATGTTTATTTTTGCATCATTTGCAAATCTTAGTTGTGTGCTGTTTTTTAATACATTCGACGACTTATTGATGCTGGAAGGATGAAAAAGACTATATTAGAGCTACTGTGATTCTTAGATGTAAGCATCCAACAATCATACATAATGCAAATTAATGAAGATAGGCTTAATTGTTCTTGCATGGTGAAGAAAAAGAGCAACCAGCACAACCATTAAAAGAAAAAAAATTTCTACCAGTATTGGAAAAACGAAACGGGGGGTGGAGGGAAAGCTTATTTCCAGTGGCAGGGCATTGTTTCAGCTATTGTACATACATGCTTTGTCCTTTTGACATATGTTCTTGAACATAGTTTAAAAAATATGAAGCACTGTTTTTCTTTAATGCTGAATAAATATGACACACTGAACATTAACAGTCATATTGGATAATGGTTTCTTTTGTAATTTTTTTTCTTTTTTGGCATGTGACAGAAAACTTTGGTTTTCAAAAGGTAAATCAGAACGGTTGTGTTTTTGAATGAAAATTTGTATTTCATAATTAGAGTAACTAAATTACCTCCATAGCAAGCTGATGATATCTGGTTTCCTTAGATCAGTGCTTCTCA